ACCAGCTGAATATCTCCACTACACTCTCTTCGCCGTATTAACTTTTACCAGGCTCTACAATTGCTCATAGTCCTTCTCCTCCTTGCCACTGTCTGATACCCACCTCACCACATCCTATTCAGGTTACACTCGAACGACCCAAGTGCGCTTTCTCTCAAAGGTCTCCTTAGCGTATATCAAATCCATCTTGACCTCATTTTGCATATTATTTAAGTAATAGATCCTGCGCTGGTTCATTGCCAGAGTTCCCTGTTGGTTGCTCATCTCTCCTTGAAGGCCACCTAGTTTTCAGTATCGACCCAGAAAACAGGACATGGCATCAATAATCTGCGGTAGCCTATTGGAATTGCTTTCGGTGACTTACATGACAAGTCTGGGAGCAATTTAAAAGTACTAATATTACAGATTCTGATGTTGGTTCTTGTTATAAGTACTATTCATCTACACAACCATTTCATGATGACATACGCTTACTTCAATCACCAATTCTGGCATACCTCGACATCTTTAGTCGTGTCACCTGTAGTTGAAATGATGCTTCAAATCCAGGTATCTGCAACAGACGACTTCTTTCACACTTCTACCGTTGGTGGTGTTTGGACTTCGTAGTTTTTAGTCCAGTATCTCCAATACATCTGTCTTCACATATCTTGCGTGGATTAAGTATTCGTAGCCTTAATACTATGTCTCATTGGTATGTTCTATATTAAATCAATGTAGATTTTTGGAGGTTAACAGAATAAATCCCGACTATTAAGAGTAAATTTAGTAACTTTCGATATTTCATCTTTAACATTCGTTACTACTTAAAAATATTTCAGTAGTTTGACAATAATCGTAGAATTATAGAAATCTCGGCATACAATATGATCATTTTAGTGTCGATTTGCACGGATTTGATTGGTTTTATGTTAGGTCCTGAATTGATATCAGTTGGAGAACTACTGTAAAACTAGGGAGTACTGGACAGCTGTTTTGGTAATTTAATTCTCGCCGGTAGTGCCTACCCACCACCCAACACAGACGATTGAATCTAGGACCTTAAGGTTATGTTAATCACAGACATATGTTACATAGTACCTTAAAAATTAATGTTCATATAACGGTATCAATTGCATTAGACCACTCCTTTATTTACATAAGAATTCGAAAGCACCGGACTGATAGCTGCTACTTTGATGTGGTAATCAAGCGTGCATTCTACAACCACCCAACAAGCTACATAAACCGGAACTAGTGTTTTTGCAAGTACTTCTATACTAGAAAGATTGTTCGGATAGCACTTAGAGTAAAACCAGTTACCCACATAGTCTAAGCACTTCACACTATGTTGGGGATCTATGGGCAAAGTAGTACTTCTGATCAATAGGGATGCGTAACAGCAGCAGTAAGGTGTTTCCTTATAGACGTGTTGCCGACTTATATTATTAAGGATTATAGGTTGTACACAGATGATGAGAACCAACGAGACAAAAGAGGACCCAACTATTCTGCATCAATGTTTTTCCTTTCTCTGTTCAAATCTATAAGAGGGAATTCTCGCACCAAAATATTAATAGTGTTTAACAAATTACTTGTTAATATGATTTATGTATCAATTCATTTCTTATATATTGTTGATTAGCTTTTCATTCGTTCAACTTCATACTACTTATTACTAGTGAGTAGTATACATTTATACTTTATTCCTTATCTATTCGATTATTAGGTATGCCACACACTGAAACAGTATTATTTACTGGATGACAAGGTTTTGAATATAATTTATTGTTCGTAATCATTTCATCTCAACTCCAATGTGAAGTCAGTGCTACTATACGGATCAGAGACTTGGCCAGCGCGTCATAAAGAGCATCTCAAACAAACTACAAAGCAACATTAACAGTTGTCTTCGCTCAATACTCAAGATCAGATGGCCAGAAAAGATCAGCAACAGGTATCTTTGGGAGCGAACCAACCAGGAACCGATTGTGAAACAAATAGGCAGGGAGAAATGGAGATGAATTGGCCATAATCTTAGGAAACCACCAAGTGACATCATAAGACACGCCATCACTTGTGTGGAACCCGAAAGGGAAGCGGCGAGTTGGTCGTCAGTGCAAGGGTGACTTGGAGGAGGTCATGTGAAAAGGAGATGAGAACGTGTGGGCAGACTTGGAGCCAAGTGAAGACTCTAGCAGAGAATCGAACGTAATGGAGACGCACAGCTGAAGCCCTATGTTCCTGTAGGAATTAAAGGATACAATAATAATAATAATCATTTCATCAATTATAACCGCACAACTTCGGGAATTGAGCCTTGTAGTTTTCCTTATTCTTTCCTATTCGTCGTTGGGGTAGTAGAATTTCCATGATGTCCGAGCGCACAAGGGTTGGTATCATTTCTTATGGCATCTAATTTCAGTAGATTTGATGAATAGTTTCCATTATTACTGCCTTCCTCCGCCATGCTATTTTAGATTTTTGTACTGCCATCTTATTAATTCCCATGATAAGCTTATGTGTAAATGAATGTAGTGCAGTAGATGAACCATTCTCTAGATTTCTTATCTTATTCGGGTCAACTGATCGAGATATTGCTGCTGAGTTATTGTACTCGGCTAGTCTGACTGACTGCCCCTGTTCTACTACTTTGACCTATGTATTTGACCTGACAATCATTCCAGCAGGGTATTAGATAAACTAAATTGTTTTGTTTAATTGGCTCCACAGGATCCTTTAACCGACAAAGCTTGTTTCTAATTGGGTTTTGGTTGATTGAATGCCACTTTATTCCTGCCTTGTTAAGAATTCTCCGCCGTAAAGTTTCCGAGGTTCCTTCCTTGTATGGAATTATTACTGATGATTTAGATTCCTTATTGTTCGTGTTGTCTTGCACGTGATTAACATGCATGTCGTCATTAATATTACTACTACTACTATTATTATTATTATCATCCCTATCACTACTGTCGTTATTTCTTTTATTTCTACATTTCCCTACATACTTTCTCATTAATTTATCAGGATAATTATTAAGTTTCAAGGCTTCTTTTATGTGTATCACTTCCTGTCTTAGATTTTCCTTGGTACTACTTAGATTTTGTGCACTATCACTTAAACATTTCACCAATCCTATTTCTACTGACATAGGATGGGATGATCAGAAGTCTAAATATCTGTTTGAATGTGTTAGTTTCCTGTAAACACTACTGTTTAACTTCCCAACTTCTTTCCTCCTTTTTTACGCAAAATCTAACATTGGAAGCTCCCCTTCCTGACTTTCCAATTCATAAGTGAATTAATGAATTGCCTCCACCTTTGAGTTAATATGTTCGAAAAATCTATTTATATCCTGTGTTCTAAGTACAGTGAATGTGTCATCTACCATACTTTTGGAGTGAGGCTGAACGTTTCAATCGCTAAGTTTTCCCGCTTATCCATGAATATATATCTGCCACTATTGGGGATATTGTTGACGCCATGGCAACTCCTTCAGTTTGTTTGTATATTTTTCCCTAGAATTTAAATATTGTAAGAGTCAGGCATAGCTGAACTCCTAGCATAATGTCTTCAAGTGGCACTTTAGCTCTAAGTTCAAGTCCTCCGCTAAAATTGAGTTCATTTGAGACTGTTTCAATGGTCAGAGTTATCGGCATTTAAATTCATGATGTCGAAACTAACCATTTTTTTTCACTATCTAATCTTTCTTTTAGTTGATTAGAATTTATCACAATTTGAGGTTTATACTTTCTATTTATCATATTTCTGTTTAATACACCACCTTATATATTTTAGACAAAGTCTGTAGTTTGGATTTCACGCCTAATTCAAAGACCTTTTACTTTCATTATTAGCAAGTGGCAACTTTCTGTCTGCCTGCCTGTTTTCAACATAGAACTTTGCACCGATGTGCACCAGTTCAATGCGGAAATTATAAGTCACAAGGAGTGAATACATCTGCCCCAGCCATTGAGAACGATTTCGAGCCATATCACCGATTGTCTCCAGCCTTCATTGGTTTTTATTCTCCCGAGGAACCCAACCAGGAAGCCTACATCTTCCTACGTAGCTTAAACTAACTGTTGTGGAATTCATTGACTGGTGAAGACATTTTTTGGTTTGACCGCCGCTGGCTCTTTTCCAACCTGATTCTATGTCAGCTAACATTTCCTTCGAGGAAGGCGATGACTAGACATACGTAACACATGTCCTAACCATCTCAGTCGATGTTATTTCACAGTCTCGTCCATTGATTTCCCCTCCTTACCTAGCACTCGACCGATGCCTAACCTCAATATTGCTCATCTAACACGGGAGATAGAACGCAGGCACCTATGATCAAAGACAGCTAGCCATGCTTTTCATGTCTTCCACTTTCAATGGCCAGGTCTCACTCACAGCCATAAAGGAGGAAAGAGCAGACTGCTGAGCAGTACACACGTCCTTTGGTTGATACCCGGCCGGATATCACGTCTACTAAGCCAGAGATGGCGTAAACTGGCATATGCGAAACTAGCCTTCTGTATTCGTGCTGAGATTTCGTCAGGGATCAACCCGTTGGCGTTGGCTGATGCAACTCCCCAAATAAGTGAAGTAAGTGGTCAACACACTTCATCAACCACTTCACTTTCAATTTCGAAGCTAGGAGTCAATGTAGTCCAGTCCAGTCCTGTAGCATCATCTTACATTTGACATGGGGAGCGAATAGTATGCCAAACATTCGCAGCTTAAGGTGTTCAGAAAACGTTGCATTTCGTCAGCGTCTTCATCTAGAAGGACTAAATCATCCGTATGCATATTCTAACTCAAAGAGATTATTCCCACGTTGGTAACAAGTCAATCTCTGAGTCACTGAATTCACTAAGGGTTAAGTCCACTAGTACATCTATGATGAAATTGAATAGAAATGGGGATAGTGGTAGGCATCCCTCGTGACGGACACCACTAGTTGCCACCAATTCAGATGACAACTCGCCGTAAGCTCTCACCTGGCTGACTGCATGAGTTCGAGTAGAGTGAATGCCTTTATCAGTGCAATGTATTTTCTAGGAAAGTTGCAACACAAAGTATCATTCCAGATTTCCAAGAGGAAATCTGTACTACAAATATACCTGCTAAGAAGGGAATTCTGTACAAAGCAAATATTAAATATGTATATAAAACTTCTTTTTATTATTAGTGAAACGTGATCACTACTTGGTTAAATGATTGTACAAGATTTTAGCGCCAGACAATGGTGAAATCTTCAACGTTTCAATCATCGGAGTCAAGCCTTCTTTGAGTTGTTTACAAATTGCTTCATCACCAAGTTCCCATAGACTATAATAAGGCGAGAGAAAAAAACAATCAGGATATTGTGAAAAGATTTCGATTAGGGAAGAAAGGCGAAATCTATTCAAATATGTAAAACTAAATCTAAAATAGTATTGAATCACTTAATACAGTGACAATTATTATTATTATTATTACTCCCTTGAGTTTCTAGTGGGACAAAGGTCTTCAACAGCCCACTGCCATTTTATCCTATTCTCCTCTTCAACTGGCTTCAAGATCGCCAATAAGTCTTCATCGCCTCCCTACACATAACCTCAGAACAAGGTCTAACTAGTCTTTTCCTATTCGGGTTCCACTTGTGAGCTTTTGGAAGTGTGTGGACGAAGGTTGTTACTTCCCGGCTGCCCACAACCGTGGAAGTTGATTGATTCTTCGCGTACCTGAAACAGAGAAAGGGTTAGTGTTGTGTGACTGCAGAGCCCAGAGGACAACTGCTTGAAACCGGTCACACACGACTGTTGTGAGGGGGAGGAGTCAGGAATACGCTGGACCACCGGTAAGAAGACTCTAGAAGATCTGGATTTCACGCCTGGATGATTTATGTCTAATGTCACACAAACTAGAAGACTTGAAGGCAGGTGAAAACCAACAAACTGGCTGAAAAGGCAATGAAAACAGGATTCCAGGTGAACACAGAGAAGACGGAGGTGATGAAGATAACCACACAACGAACAGCAACAACAACAACAACAACCAGCACCAATCACCACCAATGGGAGAGATTTAACAGAGGTTACCACCTTCATTTATCTGGCCAGGAAGCAACATTTCAACTACAGGCGGAACCGGTCAGAATCGGAAAGGCAAGATACGCAGGCCTTCATCAACCTGAAAACAGTTTGGAAATCTTCCACTTCACTCAGCATTATGAACAAGATTCGCATTTTCGACACCAATGTGAAGTTGGTTTCTTCTATACGGGTAAGAAACTTGCACTGAGTGTCACGAAAAGGATTTCCAACAGGTTGCAGATTTTGTTAAAAGCTGCCTTCGTTGGCTCCATGCTGAAGATCATATGGCCGACCAGCCAGAGAGAATAAGCAACAAACCAACAAGCAAAAGCCGATCGCTCAACAAATATGTAGGATAAAGTGGAGATCCATTGAAGAGGCCACCGAATGACATCGCACGTTAGGCCCTCGAGTGCAATCCAAATGGAAGCGACGAGTGAGTCTTCGTAGGGTGACATGGAGAAGATCGTGTGAGTTGGAGGAAGAGATGAGAGAGTTTGGTCAATCGTGGAGCCAGCTGAAGAGGACGGCAGAAAACAGAACAAAGTGGAGATGTGCTTCGACGATGTCTAGGCATGTAATTAGAAGTTAATTGGTGGATGGTGACTAGCAGTGGAATCCAGGATGCGTATTTCGTCCCATTTGGGACTCGGTGGGAACATCATCACTCACTGCGGAATGCAAGTACATTCAGCTGACCAGCTAATCCCAAACAGGAATAAATGCGAAACCTGGATTCCACTGCTAGTCACCACCCACCAATTAACATTACCATTCAGATTATACGATTTGTGCGGATTTTCGACTAATTTCAGTAATTAGATCATCGTCACAGACAAACATCAGTTAGAGAGTACTGGACAGCTGGACTGCAACGTTGTGACCAGTAAGGTTCACCACCATGTCAAGGTGAAGTGATTGCTCATCGAAGGCGTTGGAGAGGACAGCACTATATCACGAACTGACATAGTTGAAATTCAAGGATCACTGAATTCTAACCCAAATGGCTGAATGGTAGATGACCCCGACCTCGCAACCTGAAGGTCCCGAGTCCCATTCCTAGCAAAGAGTCCAAAAATAGGACTGAAAAGCTGTCTAATCGTGCTCCCTGGTTAGTGACGAAAGCCTAACACAATGAATCACCAAGAGATATCAGTCACACTTCAAGTGGTGGTTGAGACACTACAATACTACTCGACTACCCCCACCCCTCAATATGGGAGTTCAACCTGGAGACTAACAGCTAAAAGGTAAGAAAGTGTAAGTTGGCCAGCTTTCATAACACACCTGGATGAATCAGTTAAACGACGATATATACAATAAAAATGAGAATAGAAATATCAATAATAAACAAACTTACTTCACAAGAAGGTAACATGTACGATTGCATTTAGTCCAAGAGCATAAATTTTTCATTGGTACATTTTTCATAATTAATCGACCGAAAGTAACTATTAGACAAGAGGAAGACAAAATATACAACACATAAATTCATATGTGTACAGGGAAAATATTCAACTGGGAAGTGAGTGAGAAATTTAATCAATATAACTAAACTGATAAATGGTGCGTCTGTGGCACAGCGATTAGGACGCTATCCGACCAAGCAAATCGTCCGAGGTTCTATCCCTGACTGACGCACTTCCTTACCTCACTAAATATATATGAATAAAGCTGATAAAGAGGAAAGGTTGGGCATGAGGCTAGCCAGCCCATCCTGTAAAAATAAACACTGCTATAGAAACTTCAAGCCCCTAGCTTGAGGTCCTACCTTCCAATGGGAATGTGAAGGAATAAAAAAATTGATAAATGACACATAACTATATACTACTGAATGAGTGAGATGAGTAGTCATATACTACCACTACTCACACACAGCAACCAGTAGTGCTTGCTTCAAATGTCAGACAGATTGTTAATTTCCCTTTCAGACACGTTCGCCCGACTTACACGAGCTAGTTACTTCGAAGGGTTCTATTATCACAGATGACACAGAGGTTGAAATTAAATCACATGTTAAATACCTTGGATTGTGTATTTCCTTTGGTCACCATTCCTGGTCTTCCCACAATATGTTAGTTTCTACATAACGAAGTAAAGATGATCTAGTATCACTCAGTTCCCACTTTCTAAGTTTGTTAATTCTTGTATTCTATCTATACTTCTTTATTGCTCTACCCCACCTTAATCTTTCCCCACTGACCGACTGACTAACTGGTTTCAACATAGAACTTTGCTCCGACGCGCAGCGGTTCAAGTCGCCACTCTCCCTCCATGTAGCACATAAAGCAAGAGAGGACAGTAGAAGAAATGCATAATAGAGACAGTAGACAGGGATATGAGACAAAAGGAAAAGCAATAACGAAGAACAATATAGTTTCATTGGAAATTATACGTCACAAGGAGTGGATGCATCTGCGCCATCATCGAGTACGATTTTGAGCCATATGACCAATTGTCTCCAGCCATTGGTGTTTACCATCCCGAGGAGCCCAACCAGGAAGTCTATACCTCTCTACGTGCCTTAAACTAACTGTTGTGGATTTCATTGACTGGTGGAGCCATGTTTTGGTTTGACCGTTGCTGGCTCTTTTCCAGCCTGACTCTATGTCAGCTAACATAGCCCGTCAACGTCGAGCAAGGCGATGACTAGGCATACGTAACCCATGTCTTAACCATCTCAATCAATGTAACTTCACAGCCTCGTCGATTGATTTCCCCTCCTTACCTAGCACTCGACCGATGCCTAACCTAAATATTGCTCACCCTATTATACCACTTTACACGGGCTGGCTGGCTGGCTGACTAGCTACTTGGGCAAACCAGTAACACGTACATACAGTTAGTTTCTTTTAGAAACAGAAATTGTCGAGATCAGAATGTATGATCTGATAGATACCAAAAGTGGTAATCAAGAAATAAGGATTTTCGCATAAAAATATGTACTCCTGATATATATATATATATATATATATATATCATGGGAATTCATAAATTACAATTTGAGAATGTCAATAAGAAAATCACTTTAACCTTTACAGTTCCCTCAGACAAGAAGGAAAGACTATTCGGCTGATTATTTAACCCTGAAGTTAACCCACCTCCTCTAAGCAAAACGTACAGGTGATCCTGAAGTGTTGTTAGGATGCAACTTGCCTTCTGATTGGTTTCAGAAGAATTACAACTATAAGAAGCTTAATCCCAATATATTGTCATCACAAATTGTGCTTGATATAGTTTCAAGCAATACAGTTTTGTTGTAACAAGTTGAATGATAAAAAACCATATTTCACAGTACAAGATATTGGAAAAAAATCAAAATTATTTAAATATGCATACAAAATAAAACACATACACGTTTTATGCTCCTTTTCCCCTTGCAGTAAACGACGAATGATAATTACTCCTTCAGGTCGTTCAATGAATGGTTTCGAGTCAATCTGAAGATCTGTGAAGATTTCATCGATTGACATATGCTTATCATCCTCCTTCTCCTCGTCCTCTTCCTCATCATCATCAGCATCGTCACGATCGTCATCACATTCTTCATCTTCTCCGTTAACTAATCCATTTCCGCCAGTGAACGATTTGATATCCTGATAATAATAATAATAACAATAAGTGAGGAGACAGTCTGAAATCGAAGTTTACTTGTTGCAATAGACTGTTAATGAACAAAACCTTGGAGTAGTAAACCGCTTGGTGTTTCGTCTTACTTTGGGGCTCTTCAATAGCACACGCCCACCGCCAGGGTTCGAACCAAGGACCTTCCGGTTACAAGGAGATTTATTTATTTAAACGCAGAAAAAACTTGGTACAATATAGCACCAAGATAGATGCACCACACAATAATAATAAAACAACATAGATTAAAAGTAAAAAAATATAAGTAGAAAACGGATAAAGAACTTCATCTGGAAGGAAAACAGTCATGTTTAACAAGTTCAAACAGTATTCGTTAACTATCATCAGGAAGGGAAGAAAGAAGGAAATTGCAGCACGTTCGCCATTGATTACGATTCTTGGCCATATCCGATAACGTTTCGAGCCGTCGATTCGAACTATCTCGCGGACCCCAACCAGGGAGTCGTGACGCACCAACCGATGCTAATCTAGCACAAATATCCTTCATCCCACGACGCCACGTCATGAACTGACCATCCCTCCGCCTTTTCCATCCCGTCCCAGGGCTGGCCAGCGAACAGAAACCTGTACGGAAGCCTCTGGGATGACATTCGCAGCACATGTCCAAGCCACCGGAGCCGGTGTTTCCAGATGACGACACTCAATGAATGGTGATCTCCACTGTGTTCAAACACACGCCGCCGAACCTCAGAATTACTCACGCGATGATGCCATCGAACGCGAGAAATCCTGCGGAGACAGCGATGATCGAACACGCAGAGTCGCCTCACACCCTCAGCCTACTCGGAGAGGCCAGGTTTCACAGGCGTTGAGCAAGACAGCCCGCACCGAAGCATTGTATACCCGACCTTTGACAGCCAGGCTAACGTCGCGACGAAGCCAGAGGTGGCTCAAGTTGATGTATGCCACCATAGCCTTCATTATACGGTTGGAAATCTCATCCGTCACCCCTCCGCCAGCACTCACACAACTAGCCAGATACACAAACTTATCAACAACTTCAAGCGGTTCACCCGCAAGAGTGAGTGCAGGTACAGGCTCCTGCCAATCTTGTAACAGTATTTTGCACTTAGACGGTGCAAAGCACATACCATACTTACAGACACTGATCGCCAACTGATTAAGTGCGATTTGGGCAGCCTGCATGCTATCGCACAGTAAGACGATATCGTCTGCATACTCGAGGTCGAAAAGTCCTAGTGGAGTCCCAGTGAGAAATCGGGACCAGATGAGTCCACAAAATCAGGTAAGAGATCAGTTACTTACCGATGACATTGGTATAAGTTGGAATTCATGGGCTGGCCATTGGAAGATCAGGTGTCCCAATGGCTGAATGGTTTACGAACCCGCCTTGTAGCCAGGAGGCTCTGGATTCGTACCTCTGAAGAGTCTCAAACTAGGACGAAACGGCTGTCCAGTACTCCCAGGCGATTTTGCACTGGTACTCTAACTCAACTTCATGATTTAACCTACATAGAAAGTACTTTGTACAATTTTCACGAGCGAAAACTTAAACAATCCATAATGATACTATTTATGAATCGAAACATATTTTCTCTCTTCATAACTACCTTAACCAGAAACAGTCAAATTAGAAGTATACTGTGGGTCATTTCGTCCTAGTTTGAGACTCTTCATCTGTGACAGAATTTTCACTGTAGAATATCTCTGGAGTGTCATTCAAAGTTGCCATACATCATAAGGCGGTGTGCATCGACAAACCCCTGAAACTTCAAGATTACAAAGAGAGCTGGCTTTTTTCTTTTCCGTGACTAAATCCAACTCATAAAGATCAATCGTCAAATCCCTACACAACCTATTTCCCGCCAAATGTAACATGATGCTACAGGATTGGACTACACCGACCCCAAGATTAGAAATAGGAAGTGAAGTGGTAGAGCACGTTGACCGCTTCACTTACTTGAGAAGTATCATCAGCCCCAAAGGGGTGATGTCTGACGAAATCTCAGCTCGAATACAGAGGGCTAGTCTCGCATATGCCAGTTTACGCCGTCTCTGGTGTAGACGCGATATCCGACTGGCTGTCGACCAAAGGACGTATGTACTGCTTAGCAGTCCGCTCCGTCCTCCTTTATGGCTGTGAGTGAGACCTGGCCATTGAGAGCAGAAGACATGAAAAGATTAGCTGTCTTCGATCATAGGTGTCTGCGTTCTATCTCCAGTGTGAAGTGGTATAATAAGGTGAGCAACACTGAGGTTAGGCGTCGAGTGCCAGTTGGTAAGGAGGGGAAATCAATGGACGAGACTGTGAAATTACATCGGCTGAGATAGTTAGGACATGTGTTACGTATGCCTAGTCATCGCCTTCCTCGACAATGGGCAATGTTAGCTGATATAGGGCCAGGCTGGAAAAGAGCCAACGGCAGTCAAACGAAAACATGGAACCAGTCGATGAAATCTACAACAGTTAGTCTAAGCCACGTAGGAAGGTGGAGACTTCCTCGTTGGGGTCCTCGGGACGGTAAAAACCAACGGTTAGAAACAATTGGTGACATGGCTCAAAATCGTTCTCAATGGCGCAGATGCATCCATGCCTTTTGACTTATAATTTCCAAAGAAACCATATTGTTCTTCGTTATTACTATTCCTTTGTCTCATACCTCCGTTTACTGTCATTATTATGCATTTCTCCTACTTCCTGTTACATGGAATGTGGCGACTTGAACTGCCGCACATATATGCGAAGTTCTATGTCGAAAACAGACAGACAGACTGACACAACCTATTCTAATATAGTCAAAAGTATTTAAAAGACTTAACATTTGAAAATATTATTATAGATAAAGACAACACGTTTATGAACATGACGAGAAAAAATAAAAGACTGACCGGATTCTTCAATTTGGCCAGATAAGCTTCAACAAGTGCTACAGCCATTTTATGTCGTGATAGGCGTAAATCATCTCGACTGACATTCAGCTTGGACTGACCATTTCTATTATCACCACCAGATGGATTGAATTCAGGCACAAGGACACATGTGATCAACTTTTCCAATGCTGCTTTTCTAGATACTTTATAAGCGGATAAATCACTTTCAGGGATTGTACATTTTACGACTAGTACACGTGTACTATCATTTGATCGATTGTATAATGGAATTACAACGTCTGGATTTAAATTATGCGGTGCGCTAAACGGAGAGAGAGAGAGAGAAGGACAGAGAGATTAGATAAGAGAGGAAATTAGGGGCAACTACAGACATTTTTAAAATTTAAACAAAACATGGCAATGTACAACTTTTGACACCCAATAGGTACGCGAACGTACCAATGACCTTGTTAGTTTCATTGTTAGTGCAAGGGCTGGGATGCCACCTGGGAGCCCCCCAAGCCTTTGACTTGGAGTCTCATCAGCAAGGCAGAGGAGCAACGTCAGGAGCTACATTCCGTCGGCTTATACACTATTGGATCCGTTTGGTATCTGAAGCCCAAGTACCCCAAAGCAACTGCTTTACGTCTAATCATTATTCAAACAAACTTCTGCGCATCGTACGACCTGAAGAAACATAAGTCCCAGACAGTGTAGCTTGTTGGATCACTATGGTATGGGAATCTGACCACAGCGGCAAAGCAGCAGTTATCAGCCGGATCAGTGACCTTGGAACAAGCAATTCCGTCTAATTAGGTTAACCTAGAAGCATCGACTTGACGTTAATGTTAAAAATCTGAGTCGTATCCCTTAGGCTAAGAGTGCAGCAGATTTCCACGCTAATTTTAGCTGAATGAAGGTCAGTTTCGCCTCTCCAATCCCAGCTGACTTTGACAACCTCATTTAAGCAGTATATTTGGGTATATAAATGCTTATTAAGTAAGAATAAAAATCAATATGAACACACATTTGACTGATAGTGCATTCAATCAGGACCTAGACTCATCAAATTTGTCACAATTACTGGTGACCAATCAATGAATACACAACTGTAGTTGCACATAGACTCAACCCACACACTTGTTTGATAAAGAAGGTGCGCATTAAATAGTCAAATTATCAAGTACTCCAATGGAAATGTATTCACTATAGTTCTTTGTGCCAAAAACTTTATTTAAAACATTAAATATCGAATGAAATGCTGCTAAACGACCACTCGTAATTCCATATAGTTGGCAGTGAGAGCCCTACACACCTATTGCGCGTCAGAACTAATGATACTACCGAGCTGTTTAAATCTCGGTAGTAAGCATTAGGAGCAGGTTCCGATCCCGTTACCCATTGGCTGACGAGTGTCCGCTCTGTCCTCCTTTATGGCTGTGAGGCAGACATGGCAATAGAAAGCGGAAGACTAACTATCTTTAGTCATAGGTATCTGCGTTCTATCTCTCGAATTACCTGGTATATTACGGGAAGTGATGTTGACGTTATGCATTGAGTGGTAGGTAAGAAATGGAAGTCAGTCAGTCAGGCTGTGAAGCTGCAACGATTGAGATGATTAGGACATGTGTTATGCATGCCTAACCGTCGACCGCCTTCGTCGACGGGCAATGTTAGCTGATATGGGATCGATCAGGTTGGAAAAGAGAAGGTTAGTGGTAGTCAAACCAAAACATGATTTCATCAGTCAAAGAAATTCATAAAAGTTCGTTTAAGCCTGCTAGCCACGTGGGGAGATGTAGACTTCTCGACAGACTAGTTGGGGTCCTCGGGATGGTGAGAACCAATGAAAACTGGAGACAATTGGTGACACAGCTCAAAATTCTCTCTCTCAATGAATAGCTCAGATGTATTCACGTTTTGTGATATCTCAAAATCAATAAAACTCCTTTTTTACATATCACTATTGTTCTATTCGCCTCACTCACACTTCTATTTATTACTTCTCTATTGTTGAATCTCTCTTTACTCTCTTCTCTCGCTTTGTGTGCTACGTGGAGGGAGTGTGGCAACTCGGTCTGCTGCATATCTGTGCAAAGTCCTGTGTTGAAACCAGTCAGTAAGTAACGAAAACAGGACTTCAAGCGAACATAGTAAAAATTGAGGTGATGAAGACAACCAACAAACAATCACTGTCGCCACTTTCTCCACTTATCTAGGAAACATCGTCTCACCTACAGGCGACAGCACGGACAAAGATGCAAAAGGCCAGTCAGAATCGTAGTAGCGAGCCAAACCCTCATCCCTCTTGAATCATTATACAGAACGGAATTTGAATTTTCAACACCAGTGTCAATTCAGTTGATCTCTATGGCTCAGAAAGCTGGCTCGTCACGAAAAGCGTTTCCACGAGGTTTCAAAAGTTAACTAATAACTGCCTTCACTGGCTCTATACTGAAAATCAAACAACCGGCCAGAAAAAATTACCAACAAGAAACTCTGGCAATGAGTGAACCAACCAAGAACCTACTGTTCAACAAATATGTCGTACGAAATGAAGATGGATCGGGGACACACGCTGACATCACACGCCAGGCCACGGCTAGAGTGGAATCCGAGTTGGGTTGTGCTCCAAGCTTAATAGTCTCAAAAAAAATCACCGAACCAAACCAAAAGAGAACATGACACTAATCGCAACATGATGAAATCCTGTAACCAATCAATCAACTCCCTACAAACCAATACTTGAATATCCATGGGATGCTCACTGGCGACTAGCCGCCCTATTCAGCTATGTAGTTACCTGAGTTCTAGTGGGAATTCGTGACCAGTAGGGTGCCCCAAGTTGTGTTAGGACAAATACTCGCCAGCGAAGATATTAGCTAGCGGTGGCGGTATATCGTGAATTGGCAGAAGTTAGAATTCATGGGCTGGTCATTGGAAGATCGGGTCCCAGTGGCTTGTCACCAGAAGGTCCTGGGTTCGAATCCCGGGGATGCGCACTACTGATGAGTCCCAAACTAGGACGAAACAGTCAGCTGTCCAGTACTCCCATGTTTTCCAATTGTTCTCTAACCAATGTCAGCTCATGATGAAATTCTGTAACCAAAAAATGATTAAATTGACAATACCATTTATAAAAGTGTTAAAATAAACATACCTTTTATCAAGAATTTCACTTAGCAGAATAAGACGACCTAAATCTTTACGAGCTATTATGCCTGCTTCATTTGTTGGATCACTTGCATCACCGATAAATAATTCTGTCAACTTTTCTTGAGCTAAATTCAACAAAGCTGGTAACACTAACGATTGACACGTGCGCATCTCCAAGGCACGAACACCTAGTAGCTTTTTTGTATGCATATTTGTATCCCCAGGTGTCAGGATACTATTGATCAGTTGAGGCGAGAAATGGCGACTATCACGTGGTGACAGCATATACAGTAATACTTTACGTGCGTTAGGGTGCATCACGAACAATTCCAGATCGTCTAAGATTTCCTGAAATTGGAATATATATAAAACAAAATGTATAATACAGTAGTAGGTAAAGGCATACATGTGATGGAGACATGTTCAACACAAACAAATGCGAAACAATATCATTACCAATGGCTGAAAACAATTGGTGACATGGCTCAAAATCGTTCTCAATGGCTGGTGCAGATGCATCCACTCCTTGTGACTTATGATTTCCAATGAAACTATATTGTTCCTCGATATTACTTTTCTTCTTGCCTCATATCTCTGTTTACTGTCTCTAATATGAGAATAGCCATTACTAGTCGACCGTTGTTGTTCAATAACCTGAAGGACAAGATCCCGCTGTTGACCAACTCTGTATGTGTTTATCAATTCACCTGCTCGTGTGGAGCTAGGTATATCGGTCGTCCAACTCGAGTTTTGTCCAAGAGGGTGCAAGAACACTATCCTTCCTGGTGGTTACGAAGAGGTGGAAGTGAAACAATAAGGAGCGCGATCATTGAACATATGATCGATAATGACCACCCTATCTCTATAGCCTCCGCCTTCAAAGTCATCTACAAGGCAAAGAGTAATTTACCCAAATCCCTACGTACCCGACTCATCTGTATTGCTGAAGCTTTGCCTATCGAAACAGAAAAGCCAGATCTCTGTGTACAGAAAACGTTCGTCCAACCGGTCCAACTTTCATGGTCTTAATCCCTCTATGCTAAAGCATGGTAATCCCCAATCATATTTTGGCTTTACCATTTTTCCATTTCGTCTATTCAATTTGTATACTCTTCCTTTATTACATCAATTGTTACTATTACTAGCCTCACTTTGAGCTGTCCCCGATATTATTTCACTTGTTCCACTTGTCATTCTAAATCAATTCCTTTGTGCAACATTAAATTCTATGCTATTAAATTTCACACAATATTACGTAAGGTCTCTATTTTATTCGATTCGCCTACTAATCCTATAATTGAACACTCCTACCAAGTTCTATACATCCTATGAATCAATGTTCTATATATGACATTAATTTGCTTTGCCACTTGACATTTGACTGTAATTATAATCACAAACATTTTAGTTTTAATTGCATTTCATATTATTATTATTATTTTATGCATGATAAATTCGTTGAAAAGAGTGTCTTCGCTGAATCATTTGTTTTGATTTTCTAATATGCATTTCTCCTACTTTCTTCTCTTGCTTTGTGTGCTACATGGAGTGTGGCGACTTGAACTGCTGCACATATAAGCAGAGTTCTATGTCGAAAACAGACAATATCATTACTAAATTAAGCTTGATGATAACACCGTCAGCCACTGACTGGTTTCAACTTAAAACTTTGTACAGATGTGTAGCAGATCGAGTTGCCACTCTCGCTCCATGTAGCACACAAACCAAGAGAAAAGAGTAAAGAGAGATTCAACAATAGCCCATTCAGCCACTGGGACCCGATCTTCCAATGACCAACCAATTCAAGATATAGCGCGACCGCTAGCCAATATCTTCACTGGCGAGTATTTGTCCTCACATCTGACCTGCTGCACCCTACTGGTGGTCACGGCTTCCCACTAGAACCCAGGTAACTACCTACCTGAATAGGGTGGCCAGTCGCCAGTGAGCATCTCACCGATATTCAAGTAATGGTTTGTAGGGATTTGATTAATTGGTTACAGGATTTCATCATGTTGCGATTAGTGTCATGTTCTCTTTTGGTTTGGTTCAGTAATTTATTTGAGACTATTAAGCTTGAACTACAACTCCACCCGGGTTCCACTCGATCCATGGCCTGGCGCGTGATGTCAGCGTGTGTCGCCGATCCATCTTCATTTCGTACGACATATTTGTTGAACAGTAGGTTCCTGGTTGGTTCACTCATTGCCAGAGTTTCTTGTTGGTAATTCTTTCTGCCCGACCGTTTGATCTTCATTATAGAGCCAGTGAAGGTAGCTATTAGTTAACGTTTGAAACCTGTTGGAAACGCTATTCGTGACGCGCCAGCTTCCTGAGCCATAGAGATGAACTGAATTGACACTGGTATTGAAAATTCAAATTCCGTTCTGATTCTAGAAGATTTCCAAACTGATGTAGGTCGGTCTTGCTCTTCCGATTCTGATTGGCTTTTTGCATCTTTGTCCGTACTGTCGCCTGTAGGTGGGACGATGTTTCTTAGATAAGTGGAGAAAGTGGCGACAGTGATTGTTTGTTGGTTGTCTTGATCACCTCAGTTTTTACTATGTTCGCTTGAAGTCCACTTTTCGTTGATGACTAACTGGTTTCAACACAGGACTTTGCACAGATGTGCAGCAAACGGAGTTGCCACACTCCATAGATGTAGCACACAAAGCGAGAGAAGAGAGTAAAGAGAGATTCAACAATAGAGAGATAATAAACAGAAGTGTGAGTGAGGCGAAAAGAACAGTAGTAATATGGAAGAGGCATACAGTTTTATTGGATATGACAAATGACAAAGAGTGAGTGAATGCATCTGCGCTATTCATTGACAACGATTTTGAGCCGTATCACCAATTGTCCTCAGACATTGGTTTTTACCATCTCGAGGACCCCAACCAACCGGTCAGGATCCTACACCTACCCCTACGTGGCTGACTGGCTGGTCTAAACTAATTGTTACGGATTTGATTGACTGATGAAGTCATGTTTTGGTTTGACCACCACTAGCTTTCGTTTTTCCAACCTGATCAATCGGATGTCATCTAATACTTCCCGTTGTCGAGGAAGGCAATGTCTACATATGTGCAACACATGTTCTAACCATCTCAATCGATGTGACTGGCTTCACAATCTGGTTGATTGATTTTTCCTGAGTATCTATCACTCGACTGATGCCTAACCTCAATATTACTCACAATATTATACTACTTTACACAGGAGATAGAAGGTGGGCACACCTATAATCAAAGATAGCTAGCCAGGCTTTTCGTATCCTCCACTTTCAATGGCCATGTCTCATTCACAGTCATAAAGGAGGACAGAGTTAACTGCCAAGCAGTACATACGCCCTTAGGTCGACAACCAGAAGGATATCACATCTACACGAGATATGGCGTAAGTTAGCAAATGCCAAAGTGGTCAACACGCTCCACCAACCATTTCACTTCCTTCCTATCTTTCAGCTAGGAGTCATTGTAGTCCAGTCCAGTCCAGTCCTGTAAAGCATCATCTTACATTTGACAAGAACAACGAATCGTATGCCAAACATTCGAAGATTGCTGGCTCCTCAAAGCGTTTTCAGAAAACTCTGCATGTCGTCAGCGTCTTCATCCAGGAAGATGTCTATATCATCCACAGACTCTTATCAACGAGATTATTCCTTGGTCGGTAACAAGTCAATCCCTGAATCGCTCAAGTCAGTTAGTCAGTCAAGTCCATCAGTATGTACACATCTATGATGAAATTAAACACAAACAGGGATAATAATGACAATGAATCGGGTCCCAGTGGCTGGATGGTATGCGAGCCAGCTGGCCTTGTAACCGGAAGGTTCTGGGTTCGAATCCCGGTGGGTACGTACTGCCGATGAATCCCAAACTAGAATGAAACAGCAGCTGTCCAGTACTCCCTGGTTTTCAATGGTTCTCTAACTGATATCAATCCGTGATCAACTCGTAAAAATAATTAAACAACCAAAAAATTCAAATATAATCTAAAAAAATAACTAACTCTGAATACAGTTTTCTGCAATAGGACAATATCGTCAACAGCATCAATTAATCCAATAATAAACAAATGACCATGTTCATTGAAGGCAATATTTTTTATACAGGTTTTTAAACCTTTAACTAAAAGTTTACGTTTCTGTGGATTACATGCCCAAAGAATTTTTAAAGCACATCGTACACCTTCACGTGTATGCATCATAGGCACCAACTGTCCATCAATTAATGCTTCCAATAATGTTGTAAAATTATCATTAAATGATTTAGGTAGTGGTGATTCTTTACAATCCAATGAGTCATCAATTAACACAGGAACGATAGCTGCATTAGGTTGAGATAGATCTGTAGTAGACGGTTTCTCTGCACCAGTAACAGCAGACGTGGAAGACGTGGAGGAGGCAGCGGTGGCTTTGTTGAATGTGAATGCACTGTTAAGGTATTCTAATAGGAGGTGTTGAACAATACTGAATCTGTTGAGACCTCTAAAAAAGTTGAAATAGTATACAAAAAAACAATCGTATTTTAAGATGTGTTTTTTAGAAAACTATTAAAGTGCTGCACACAACTTAATAAGTTGTAGAATTGAGATTTATTAGGCAGTTTATTGTTTTTAAAGCTACTCTGATACTTCCAGTTAACCTCTTTTCTAACTTTGTACATTCGGGGTGGGGGGCGGCGTTATAACTGACCCGTCACCAATTTGTTATAAAGGAAAACTGAAATTTGTTATGTCAGCCTGTTAATTACTATAACGATAATAAACTCGACTGGGCAGGCTTTAGACCAGGAATAGGGTGTATTGATCATATCTTCACCCTTCGACAGATTCTGGAACATAGACATACTTACCGGCGGCGTCCAACAATCGTTACATTTCTTGACCTAAAGGCGGAATTCGATTCTGTCGACTGAGAGGTGCTATGTCGATGCTTGGCTGTGATAAAGGGAATGCCGAGAAAATACATTGCACTGATCAAGGCACTCACTCTACTCGAACTCATGCAGTCAACCAGGTGAGGGCTTACGGCGAGTTGTCATCTGAAGTGGTGAAAATTAGTGCTGTCCGTCAGGGATACCCACCACTATCCCCATTTGTATTCAATTTCATCATAGAGGTACTAATGGACTTAACCCTTAGTAAATTCAGCGACTCGGAGATTGACTTGTTACCAACGAAGGAATAATCTAGTTGACTTAGAATATGCAGATAACATAATCCTTCTAGGTGAAGACGGTGAAGACAAAATGCAGTCTTCTGAACACCTCGAATGTTTAGCATGCTATCCGCTACCACCAAATGTAAGATGATGCTACAGGACTGAACCGGACTACACTGACTCCTAGTTTAGAAATAGGGAGTGAAGTGGTAGAGCGTGCTGACCACTTCATTTATTTGGGAAGTTGCATCAGCCAGACCCAACGGGTTGATCGCTAGCGAAATCTCAGCACGGAGAAAGAAGGCCAGTTTCGCATTTGCCAGTTTACGCCCTCTCTGGCTTAATAGACGTGATATCCGGCTGACTGTCGACTAAAGGGCGTCTGTACTACTCAGCAGTCCGCTCTGTCTTTCTTTATGGCTGTGAGACCTGGCCATTGAGAGTGGAAGGCATGAAAAGCCTGGCTGGCTGTCTTTGATTAAACGTGCCTGCGTTATATCTCCCGTGTGAAGTGGTATAATAAGGTGAGCAATATTGAGGTTAGGCATCGGTCGAGTGCTAGGTAAGGAGGGGAAATCAATCGACCAGGCTGTGAAGCTACGTCGACTGAGATGATTAGGATATGTGTTACTCATGCATGCCTAACCATCGCCTTCCTCGACAACGGGCAATGTTAGCTGACATAGGATGGGTTAGATTGGAAAAGAACTAGTGGTGGTCAAAACAAAACATGACATCAGTCAATGAAATCCACAACAGTTATTTTAAGCTAGCCACGTAGGAAGGTGTAGACTTCTTGACTGGTTGGGGCTTTCGGGACGGTAAAAACCAGTGGCTGGAGACAATCGGTGATATGGCTCAAAATCGTTCTCAGTGGTGCAGATGCATCCACTATTCCTTTTTTCTCATATCCCTGTCTACTGTGTCTATTATGCATTTCTTCTACTTTCTTCTCTTGCCTTGTGTGCTACATGGAGGGGGAGTGGCATCTTGAACTGTTGCACATCGGCGCAGAATTCTATGTTGAAAACAGACAGACAGACAGGTGCGTTAATACGTCTACTTGCCCGTTGTACCTTCCGATTCACTGAGCCACGCAAATATCAAGAGGCAAAGGCTGGCCTGTGACTCTAACATACTGTATTATACATCTATTAGGGGACAAAACATCACATTTATACATCTAATTTATCACAATACAGTTTGCTAACAACCGCGGGGATAGACTTTTCTTCTTGGCTAGATATGTCTATTCTGATTGTTTGGTGATCCGACAAAGATCAAGGTGAGACAGAAGACGATAAATTGATCACACACTAAATCACAATATGCGTGAGAAAGCATGATATACTATTTTAAGCTCGGTCCTATCACGGGGAGGGGGGTTGATCGCTTTCACAAATAATTGTTACATTGACAACAAACGTTTATTACAGACCTTTTGTGACACTATGACCTTTGTTATTATGTATATATCCCGACTGGCATGGCACACTGTCTCAGCTCGGTCATGCTGTTTAGCTGCCGGAAATCAATACTCAAAATCTGCTTTCTTCACTAAAAGAACTGGAGAGTTATACGGACTGGCAGGCTTCTTCAATTATACATCATCCTGTAAAATCTACTTCACTTGTAGCTTAACTTCGTCTTCTAAAAAAGACATGAGACTCTTAGCGTTGTGAATGGCGCTATTTTTTATGCGATTTGGGATTTCATGCCTCACCTTATCACAATAACCGTAGGAGTTCCCATCTCCGGTGAACACATGATTGTGTTGTCTTTCTTATGGGATGGGGTAGCTAGCTTTACGCCTAACCTTGTCTTTTTCTCAGACTTACTGTCAGCTGGTAAAATAGGCGAGGTTCAGGAGTTAGTCGGCTGGGAATCGAACCCAGGACCATGTGCGTGAATGACTGACGCGCCACCAACGCACAAAGTGAAGACTTACTATGCAAAATCTAGATAGATTAAACACCAAGTCTGTTACAAAAACACAAATTTTAAATTTAAGTTTTTCATAGATGAGAAACTCGACTAATTTATCTAAAAAGGATCGTCTCAACTACAGACATACGCCACAGATAAGGACGTCAAAAACAGAATCGAAAAGGTAAGTCAGATATTCATCAGATATTCTACAGCTGGCTACCAATCAGTCGAAAAAGAAACCTAATTAGATCTCTTGCTACTCGCGTCCGACGCATCTGCAGCTCTGATACTCTGGAAGAAGAACTACACTTCCTGAAAAAAATGTTCATACAAAACGGTTATCCACCAAGATTCATAGACAAAAACACCAAACAGAAAATCCAAAAGCAAGAGACGCCATCCGTGACTTCAAAGGTGACCGAGTGATATCTTTAGGAGGAGAATTTCTACTTCTTTAAGAAGAACTTTGTTTCCAGCAACATTGGGAGTGGTGTTCTCCAGTCGCCCGCTGATCTGTAGCAGCCCAAAAGAAAAGATTCCGCACCTGACCACTTCTATGTGTATATATCAGTTCACCTGTTGCTGTGGAGCCAGTACATTGGTCGTTCGATGCGCATCCTGTCAAAAAGGGTCAAAGAACACTATCCAGCGTGGCTGAAGAAAGGAAGTAGTGGCCGTATAAGGAGTGCAATAATCGAAAATCTCGTCACCACTGGTCATTCCCTCTCAACAAACACCTCCTGCTTCAAAGTAATCTATAAAGCGTAGAAAAACCTGCCAAAGAAGATACTTTCTTTTCTTCTTTACATTGCAGAAGCCCTAGCCATTTAGTTAGAAGAACCAGAACTTTGCATACAAAATAAAATCATCCAACCACTTCTATTATCATGGTAACAACTCTGTTGATTTGATTTCATTTTTGCTTGTTTGCTTGTTTTTTCTAACTACTTTAAAACTCTTACGTAATTCCGTGTGTTACTTTGTTTCCATGTACACCCTGAGCACAACTCTTTCATCAAACTATTCGTGTTTTTACCTAACTCTTCTTTAACAATCGTTTGCGACAACTTATCACTTTTGTTACTACCCTCTTATATCAACATTCAATTCATCAGAACTTGCTAATTGTACTTTCGTTTGGCAAATTTAATGTACACACACACATGCAAAATAACAATATATATATTTGCGACTGTACAGCTATGAAAATGAATTCGCCGCTGAAAAGAGACTCTTCGCTGAACTACTGGTCTTCTGTCTTTTAGATATTCATCACTCTAAAATCAGTGTGAAAATCAATGTTAGGCGGAGAAGGTACCATCGTGCACGTGGAAGAAACTGTGCTACTAAAGAAGAAATACAACCGTGGTCGTGAGCGAGCCAACAATGTTTGGGTGATCGGTTTATATGACACCTCCCTACGGAAAAGATTCGTGGAGAGCATACCAGACAGAAAGTCTACTACCTTAGTACCAATTGTCACTCGACTTGTGAAACAGGGATCCATAGTACATACTGATGAATGGAAAGGTTATAACTTGCTGTCATCTCTCGGATATATTCATCACAGGGTGAACCATTCTAGTAATTTTGTGGATCCAATTACACGGGGACACACACGAATTCCATAGAAGGATTTTGGGGAAGATTAAAAAATAGGATTAGGGGGCTATAAATGGATCTCAAGAGGATCTCATTTAGAGAAAGATACTCTATGTAGTAACAGTTTTATGCAGTTTTTATGCTTTTCTTTTCTTTCCATAAATATACGTTTTCCTTAATCAAAATTCCTCTTTCATGTGATTGGTTCGTTGAAGGTCGTTCGCTGATTGGTAGTTAGTTAGTTAGACAAGACGGAGGTTATGAAAATAACCAACCAACAACAACAACGTCCAGTGCCAATCACCATCAACGGGAGGGATTTGAAAGAGGTTACTTCATTCACTTATCTAGGGAGCATTGTCTCAACCACAGGAGGAACGGACGAGGATGTCAAATCGAGAATCGGGAAGGCGAGAAACACATTCATCAACCTGAAACCAATCTGGAAATCTTCGTCACTCAGCGTCAACAACAAAATTCGGATTTTCAATACAAACGACGTCAAGTCAGTTCTTCTATACGGATCAGAAATTTGGCGGCGGGTCACAAAGAATATTTCCAATAGGTTGCAGACCTTTATCAACAACTGTCTTTACTCTATAGTGAAGATCAGTTGGCCGGAAAGAATCACTAACAAGAAACTATGGGAACAAATAAAGCAAGAACCAATCGCTGCTCAACAAATATGCAGGAGAAATTGGAGATGGATTGGACACTCGCTGAGGAGGCCGCTGGGTGACATCGTGCGTCAGGCCAGTGCTCGAGTGGAACCCGAAAGGGAAGCGGCGAGTGGGACGTCAGTGCAAGGGTGACATGGAGGAGATCGTGTGAAGAGGAGTTGAAACAGTATGGACTAACATGGATGCAAGTGAAAAGTACGGCAGAAGACAGAAGCAAGTGGAGACGTGTAGTTGAAGCCCTATGTTCCACTGGGAACCCAAGGGAACAATAATAATAATAATAATTTTTAAAATAAAACTTGGTGCTACAAACCACACACACAGAGAGAATCACTTACTTTGTAACTAAATTGATGAGTGTCACCGTGAGATTATTTAAAATAACTTCACTTTTATCTGGATGCAACTTCAGTGTATCCTCAAGATTGTAGGATTCATGTTCACCAAGTCTGAGGGCATGTCGATTCCCATAAAATTCTTGTATCATTTCATTACGTTGTGTAGCTGTAGCATAATCATTATACAATGTGTCTATAATCTCTGAGGCAAATCTATGCTGTGTTAAACGTTGAATACGACCTCTAAATGCCTAAAATCATATATTCAGAAGAGATAAAACAAAAATTATTGACCATAGAAATAAATAACTGAAAATACTTCAAAAGAGCACAATTGATTATTCTTTATTAGAGTGCTACAATACACGAAGTGAAGGCAGCTGTTGATAAAAAAAAGTTGGAGACTTTTATCAACAACTGCCACCTTTCGCGAAAAATACCCATTCAGACATTGAAATAAGAACAAATTACAACCGAAGTAGAAACCAAAGAGACAATCTCCTTTCTGGACGTTCGTTTAAGTAAGAAGACCGATGGTACCTTGAACAGATCAGTACACAGAAAACCTACGTGGAACGGTCAGTTGACAAACTGCTACAGTTGGGTACCAATAAGTCGCAAGCGAAATTTGATAATATCTCTGGCGACTAGAATCCGAAAAATTTGCAGTCCTGAATCAATAGAGGAAGAGATCGCCCTCTTAAGGAAGACACTGCTCGAGAATGGCTACCCACCCCGTTTTATAGACAAGCACATCAAGCCTAAGACGTACAAAGAACAACCCATTACAGTGCAGAAGAAGATGGTCTACATGAATGTACCCTTCAAAGGTGACCTTCTGGCTGACACCTTGAAGAAGAGGATATCTACTGCTCTCAGAAGGACATTCTTCCCTGCCACACTACGACTGACATTTTCCTCCCGGCCATTGTTCTTCAACTACTCTAAAGATAAACTATCGCATTTGACCACTTCCATGTGTATCTACCAATTCACCTGCTCTTGCGGAGCGAGGTATATAGGTCGTTTGATGCGAGTTTTATCTAAAAGAGTTCAAGAACACTATCCCGCCTGGCTACGGAAAGGTAAAAACGGAGCAATAAGGAGCGCCATCATTGAACATATACTGAACACTGGTCATTCGATTTGCAAGGAGAAGTCGTTCAAAGTCACCTATAAAGTCAAAAGAAGCCTTCCAAAATCGACAAGCTTCCGCACACTTTGTATAACCGAAGCCTTAGCGATTTGGTTAGAAAAGCCTGATTCATGCACACAGAAGAAACTTCTCCACCCCCTCCTACTACCGTGGGTTTAATTTCAAGTTTATCTGTCATCAACATTTTGTTATCAATTTTTTTTGCAATCTTCGTATACTAATTTCTATTAACTAACCCATTCAATCTTTTCACCTATTATCTAGTTTATTTTCATAATTGTCTCCAAACTCCTTCACTAACATCTAGTCTTTATAAACATGTCTATATTACGTCACCCTACTCACATCTTACCAATCTTCACCCCACTTAGTTACAACTTTGATTATTAATCACACATTTTAGTTTCTTTATTATTTTGATGATGTAATCAACAACCCACACTAACTGTTATTTTCATTTCATTTTGACAAACCTAATGTACACACACACACACAAAATTAATTGTATATATTTGTGACTGTACAGCTAAGTGAATGAATTCGCCGAAAAGAGACTCTTCGCTGAACTAATTTGTTCTTATTTCAACTGCCACCTTCGCTGGCTGGCTTCAGACTGAAGATCGAATGGCCGGCCAGAATGAATCGGTAACAAGAAACTCTGGCTGGCAATAAACCAACAGGCAAGAGCCGATCACTCAACAAATATGTAGGAGAAAATAGAGATGCATCGATCGGGCATACGTTGAGGAGGCCGTCGAATGACATCGCGACCAAAGCAGGCCATCGTTCGAGTGGAATCACAATGAGAAGCGACAAGTGGGTTGTCAGTGAGAGGGTGATATGGAGGAGATAGTGTGGTGAAGAGGAGATGAGACATTATGGGCAATCGTGGACCGAGCTGGAGGAGACGGTAGAAAATAGGACAAAGTGGACCTCAGTGGTAACGTCTCACTGGGTGACACGGGTTCGAATCTCAGGAGGGACATGAGTTCCTTCAAGGTTGCAGATACGCCTTGCTGACTGACTGGTGAGTGCCAACTAGCACGAAACCTAGGTGGATAAAGGCTTCCTCCCGATTGCTTACAACCATCTAATATCATCAAATCAATGTACACCGTGATGGCGAGCCATCTACAATGGTGGCCACATACATCGCAAACCTGACTGATAGAATTCAGTCTTCACCAAAGAAAGGACTAGACACATCACACTAGTTACTTGTGTTCAATCAAAGTGGAGATGTGTTGTCAAAGCCCTATGTTTCACTCAGTACCCGAGGGAATAATAATAATAATAAAACGCCACCGAATTACCCCGATGTATAACCTTTGCACTTTGGCTATAAAACGACGTGATGATCGAGAGAGCATTATATGAGTATAAATGTATATAGGCGGTTACTACTTCTCTGCTGCCCACACGAAGGAAGACCACTTCCCCTTGGGATACCTGATACAGAAGGAGGAGCATCAGTGTTACGTGACCGCAGAGCCCAGAGACCAACTTACTTTACTTTACTTCGGCTATCTCCTACGGGAGGATGAGCCGGCTTCATGAACATCTCGAATCATCGCTGCCCAGGCGCGGCGATCTGATGCAAGGTTTTGCGACAGGGTTATCCAATTCTTGTTCCACAGATGGAGTCCGTAGACCGTTTGTAAGAGAGTTCATGAAGTTTCATGGGAATTTGGTACGAGTGATGTCCCCAGAATCGCTCGGCCTTTTGTTTGAGAGTGCAGCTCTAGCCTTTACACAACCAAGTGTGACCTACAAGGCAGTAGGAGTGGAGTAGGGAGTCCACTATCCATTGGCAGCCGGTGACCGGAGTTCGGTCCATACGCCTTTTTGAATGGGGCCAGACATCCAGGAAATCCAACAAGCCCTTTGTCCATACGTCTGCCGGTGAGCCCCAGTGAGCTTCATACGCCAGTCGTTGGAGGTTTGGAATCAGGGTTTAGCCATCTCCCCTAGACTGTCATCCAATGGACAGTCAACCCGGTGAAGAGCGCCGGGCACCCGCTTTCGCCCTCTCACTTTGGTGAAAAAAAACACCTCCGCCACGTGAAGGCAGTGAGTAGGACTTCCTCAGGAGAGGCTATGTAAGACGCCCGGTCATATGGGAGCATTTCAAGAGGTGTGCGGAGGGGTGGCCAACCCGCAGCGCAAGGCACCCACCCCCGACCATCCTGAGGCTTTGGAGGCTGCTTGAGGCCAGTCACACACGGCATGTATGAACTGGTTTCTTGGTTTGGTTCCGTATTAGTAAACTTACTGTCGGTTACGGACCACCGTAGGGTAAGTCGGGATGTACAATTCTTGGGGTCGACCTTTTCTAACCCCCTTTCTCCAGAGTGGAGAGACCGCATAGTTGGCATGCTGGTCATCTGAGGAAAACATCTTACTGCGGCCGTTACATCCCTTTTCCCCTCTGTTACATCCCTGTGTAAGAAAATTCTTATACTATGCCGGTAACTGCTTTTAGTCTAATCGTTATCTTAACAACCTTGCTGGCATGTTGGAACCTGCAGGAACAATAGTTCCCGCTAGTGTAGCTTGCCGGGTCATTGCGATGTGCAAGCCCACCACGTCAAGGAAGCAGCTATCGGTCAGGACTTCATACTAAGTGGAATCTAAATTATCAGAATAGGGAGGACAGATTAAGACAAAACACACACTACGCACCCTATGAAGTGATGAAATTCACAGTAATACAATTTCATTATGTAAACATATGCTCTTTTTACAATTTCATACATTCATCGAATCCACCGATTTGAGCACATGGTTTGTTATCTTTACCGATTCACATCCACCTGACAATGTAAATTCTGTGGAACCAGTCAAGTACATTTAGTCGTTCGACGCGTATCCTGTCCAAAATACGGTTCATAAACACTACCCTACATGGCTTCAAAAAGGTAATGGTGCCTGCATAAGGAGTACAATAATCAAACATCTCGTCAACACTGATCATTCCGTCTTAACAAACGTCTCCTCCTTCAAAATGACCAAAAAAGTGAAGAACAATCTACCAAAGACAGTACGCCTTCATCTCCTCTGTACATTGCTGAAACCTTAGTCATTCAGTTGAGATGATCGGAGTTATGCATACAAAAGAAAATCATCCAACCACTTCTACTATCATGGTAACAACCGCGTTGATTTCCACCGACTTCATATTTATGTGCCTGTTTGTATTTTCTTCTTTTCCAACTCCTTATAATTTTTTTTATTCCTTCACGTTCCCAGTGGAACATAGGGCTTCAAGCTAGAGGCTTGAAGTTTCTGTAGCATTGTTTATTTTACAGGAAGGGGTTGCTAGCCTCATGCCCAACCTTTCCTCTTCACCAGCTTTAGTTCTGGCTTAGCGAGGTAAAGGAGTGCGCCGGCCGAGGATCGAACCCCGGACCATGTGCATGGTCGGCGAGCGTCCTAACTGCTATGCCACTGCTGCACAAAACCTGGGAGTACTGGACAGCTGTTTCGTCCTAGTTCTGGACTCTCCATCAGTACACACCCACCGGGATTCGAACCCAGGACCTTCTGGTTTACAAGGCGAGCTCGTATACCATTAAGCCACTGGGACCCAACTCCTTATAATACCTGTAATATTTAGAACACTTGTATAATTCCATATTTTCCTTTGTTTTACTATGTGCATCCTAATCACAACTCACTCATTAAACTGTCCATCTTATTAAATAACTGCATTACGCTTGTGGTGAGAGCAAGCTGCTAGCCAATTGGTAGACATTGATCTATGCTGATTGGTAGAAATTAATCTAGGCTGATTCAACAACCGATCACAGCTGACCTAGACGTGGACAAATATTATTCGCAGACAAGTGGCTCGCATTTCCGAGAAATATAGAAAACGAGAAAGCAGAAGAAGACTGCCTTTGTTTGCAAACAACCAATCAGAAGACCGCCTTCTTTCTGCGGGCAGAGCCTTATTAATGTACGTAAAAAACATATAAATACATGTTGGTTTTCGTAATAAAACTGATCTGTTGCCTGGCCCTTGTCTTCTGTTGTTACATTTGGTGTCGCTGCCTACCGACAAATGGAAAGCCTATGCCCTGCAGTTTTTGATGGAGACATATGGATCTTCGGGCAGGACTTCGAGGCTTCTTCGCAGTTGAGTAGCGTTCAAGATCTGTCAGCGATGAGGCTGCTACTTGGGACGCTGCTGGGAGGTCGGGAGAAAGCAGCATATGGAAGTGTGAGGCGAAATACCTACGAATGGGCGACAGGGTCAGGCAAACAGTTTCCAAAGTGGGAAGGACCATATATGGTCACGTTGGGATGGGGTTACGCAGACAAAATCGCAATGGCAAACACCGTTAAACAAGTGGACATCCACAAGCACCGAGATTCCAGACAGCAAGACAACAGAGCAAAGCCCCAAGAACCGAGAAGACCGAGCCGAATTCAGTCCAAGCTATTTGACGGGGGGACGAGTGTGGTGAGAGCAAGCTGCTAGCCGATTGGTAGACATTGATCTATGCTGATTGGTAGAAATTAATCTAGGCTGATTCAACAACCGATCACAGCTGACCTAGACGTGGACAAATATTATTCGCAGACAAGTGGCTCGCATTTCCGAGAAATATAGAAAACGAGAAAGCAGAAGAAGACTGCCTTTGTTTGCAAACAACCAATCAGAAGACCGCCTTCTTTCTGCGGGCAGAGCCTTATTAATGTACGTAAAAAACATATAAATACATGTTGGTTTTCGTAATAAAACTGATCTGTTGCCTGGCCCTTGTCTTCTGTTGTTACACGCTTATTCAACTTCTAGTATGTGTTGATTAACATTAATTACCACGTTTTTTGACAACGCATCACCACTAACCTCTTACCAATCTTCAACCCACCCCCCTAGTTACAGTTTGATTACTCATCACATGTCTTGACAACAATATAACCCCAACTTACTCTTATTTTTATCGGAAAAATCTGATGTACACACATACATACAAAAAGATAAGTAGATATAATTGCGATTGTACAGCTAGTGAATGAATTCGCTGCCGAAAAGAGACTATTTGCTGAACTATTTATTTTGTTTGATTAGTTGGAGGATTTCATCATGACCTGATATCAGTTAGAGAGCCACTGGAAAACTATATGGGAATACTGGAAAGTTGCTTCATCCTTGTCTGGGACTCTTCATCAGTACGCACCCAGTGGAATTCGAACCCGGCGCCTTCCAGTTACAAGACCAGCCTCATAGACTATTCAATCACTGGAACCCAGATCCAATCAATACCCCACCAATTTTAACTCCTACCGTTTCGCGATCAAACCTAGAAGCAATAATTGACAAATTCATCATGTTTTTCATTCACTGGGAAGGCAGCCTTACAAAAACCAACAAAAATTCAGTGAATGACACAACACATTACTGGAGAATAAATGTATAGAAATCATAGATACCATGGTAACTAATTACCTTAAACATTTCCAATCTGTGCTGTTTATCGCCATATTTCATTAATTTTAAAAGAACAAATCTTGCATAACGTGATTTGGCAAGAATTACAAATTTCTTATGAATTTCACTGAAAATTTCCCAACGTTGTGATTCTGTCCCGTGTTTAACACAATCTTCAAGAATTCGAGATGTATCATGCGCCATGCATAGGTCAGGTATGATATTCTAGAAAATAATTCAGAAAAAAGAAAAAACAATTTTCAGTTATTGGTTTTTGCAGGGATTTTTGTTTGATTGGTTGGAGGATTTCATCATGAGCTGATATCAGTTAGAGAACCATTGGAAAACCAGAAGGGAGTAGTGAACAGCTGACTGTTTCGTCCTAGTTTTTGGACTCTTCACAGTATGCACCAACCGGGGTTCGAACCAGTAGGGCACAGCAGGTTGAAGGTGAGGCAGTAACTCATTGAAGAAGAAGACATCGCGAAGTGGTCGCGCTATGTCATGAATTGGCAGAAGTTAGAATTCACGGGCTGGCCATTGGATCGGATCCCAGTGGCGTAATGGTCTACGAGCTCGCTAGCCTTGTAACCAGAAGGTCCTGGGTTCGAACCCCCATGGTGGGTGTGAACTGATGAAGAGTCCCAAACCGGGACGAAACAATCAGCTGTTCAGTACTCCCCAATGGTTTCCCAATGATTCTCTAACTGATGTCAGCTCATGATGAAATCCCCCAACCAAAAAAAAGCAATATCAAAACTACATTCGTTGTGTGGTATATTAAAGTTTCTGGTCCTGTGAAAATGAACATAGGGCGGTAGTTAGTCAAAATACTTCATGAGCAGAAAAAATGATAGCAGACAGCAGATAACTTTATCTCAAATGCCATTTTTATACTACAAGAGGTAAAAAGGAGGGGTAGAATAAGTGAGGGAGGTCATCCAGAAAGTAAAGAAGCATACTCGTCGACATTATTCATCATTCATTACTTAATGGTACCTCCAGAAAAGGAGGAGGAAGAAAGAAGGGAACTCCAGCATATTCGCCATATCCGATAACGTCTTCAGTCACTGATTCGAATTATCTCTCGGACTCTACCAAGGGATTCGTAATTTACTAACGGATGCTAACCTAACACAGATACCTTTTACCCTACGGCACCACATCATAGTCTGAACACCTCTCTATCCAGTAATAGGGCTAATGGACAGTCATCGGTACCGGAGGCTTTGGGATGACATTAATAGTGGTACATGTTCAAGCCATTGAAGCTGGTATTTCGAGAGGATCATACTCAATGAATGGTGACATCCACACTGCCGGATTGCAGAATTACTTACACGATGTTATCAGAAGCAAGGAATTTTATGGAGACAGCGATGATGGAATACGCTAAGTTGCCGCATTTCCTCAACTCGGAGAGGCCAAGTTTCACAGGCGTAGCGTAAGACCTCGTGCACTGAATCATTGAAAGCGCAGCCTTCGGTGGTCAGGTTGGTGTTCTAACGGTGCCACAGGAGGTCCGAAATATTGTATGCCACCCTAACCATCATACCTCCAGCACTCATGAACTTTTCGACAACTTCGGGAGGTTCACCTGCAAAGGTGAATACAGGTACTGGCTCCTGCTTTGCATTTAGACGGCGCAAAATACATACCATACTTACAGACACTGACCGCTAACTGATTAAGTGCGATTTGGGCAGCCTGCATGCTATTGCACAGTAAGACGATATCATCTGCAAACTCGAGGTCGTCAAGTCTTCCTCCAGGATGAAGATCAACGCTACTACAAGGCACGTCCTTTAGAGCTAAATCCAGAAAGTCATCGATAGAAAAAGTTAAAAAGAAGTATAGAGATTTGGCAATCCTACCTAACCACCTGATGACAACTAACAACATTTATTTATGTAAATTCACAGAGGAAATAAAGCACTTCTAATGCCGAGATTAAACTGATAGTTTAATCTTTGAATAGGGACACATTTTGATACATTTCTGAAATATATTTGAAGACGGAAAATGCCTACAGCAGTATTAAACATGAAGAGAGACATGAAAGAGTAGAATACAATTCCACACTATTATCATTATTATTATTATTATTATTATTTCCTTTAATTCCTAGAGGAACATGGGGCTTCAGCCGTGCGTTTCCATTGCGTTCGGTTCTCTGCTAGTCTTCATCTGGCTCCAAGTCTGCCCACACGTTTTCATCTCCTCTTCACATGACCTCCTCCAAGTCACCCTCTCCCTTGCATTGACGACCAACTCGCCGCTTCCCTTTTGGGTTCCACTCGAGCAATGGCTTGTCTAGTGATGTCACTTGATGGTTTCCTAAGAGTACGGCCAGCCAATCCATCTCCATTTCTTCCTGCCTATTTGTTTCACAATCGGTTCCTGGTTGGTTCGCTCCCAGAGGTCTCTGTTGATCTTTCCTGGCCACCTGATCTTGAGTATTGAGCGAAGACAACTGTTAATGAAGGTCTGTAGTTTCTTTGAGATGCCCTTTATGACGCGCCAAGTCTCTGATCCGTATAGTAGCACTGATTTCACATTGAAGTTGAAAATCCAGATGTTATTTTTGATGCTGAGTGCTGTTGACCTCCATACAGACTTGAGAGTAGTGAAAGCTTGTCTTGTTTTCCGATTCTTGCTTTGATATCCTCTTCAGTTCCGCCTGTAGTTGATACGATGCTTCCCAGGTAGGTGAAAGAGGTTGTTTCTTTCAGGTTCCTCCCATTTATGCTGATTGTTGTCTGTTGTTGTTGCTGTTGGTGGTGTTGCCCAGGAATCTTCATCACTTCTGTTTTCGCTATGTTCACCTGAAGTCCTATTTGTGATGCTTTTTCTATCGTCAACTTGATGCTTTTCGCTTGCATATCTTCCAGTTTGTGGGAAATCAGACATATATTACACTAGGTAAGGTTTATTGGATATATAACACACAGTGATACACACACTGCTGACTACTGGAAAAGTTTCCCAGTACAATTTATTGCTCATGATTACAACAAGGTATTCTCTCAATGAGACTTCTCAACTTGCGTCAATTCCACTACACGTATTTAGTGTATATACATGAGATCGAAATGACACAATAACTGTCCCAGATATATGGAAAGTTGAATTAGACTTAAGGTGGAGTTAGGCTAGTATATGAAGCAAAATTAGAAAGTTGTCTGAGTATACCGATACAGAATATGATCAACAGTCATCCACTGCATTAATGCACTTTACATCAAACAAACTTAGACAATATTTGGAATGAACGAAGACAGTCGGAGGTTCAGAAGACAGTAGAAAGTAGGCAAGATAATAAGATATTTGGAATGTTCTACTTCCAACCATATATATTTATATATATATGAACTTTCTTGGGCTCTAAATTGGATAGAAAACTTCAGTATTAAAAAAAATGTATGGCTTATATTTATGACCAAAGGGCGTGTGTACTGCTCAACAGCAGTTCGCTCTGTCCTCCTTTATGGCTGTGAGTGAGAACTAGCCATTGCGAGTGGAAGACATGAAAAGGTAAAGAGGGGAAATCAATAGATGAGGCTGTGAAGTTACACTGATTGAAATGGTTAGGACATGTGTTATGCACGCCTAGCCATCGACCGCCTTCCTCGACAAGCGATGTTAGCTGACATCGGATCGATCAGGTTGGAAAAGAGAAAGTTAGTGATGGTCAGGCCAAAATATGGCTTCAACAATCAATCAAATCCGCAACACTTAGTTTAAACCACGTTGAGAGGTGTAGACTTCTTGGTTGGGGTCCTCAGGATGGTAATAACCAATGGCGACTGGAAACAATAGGTGATACGGCTCAAAATTGTTGCCAATGGCTGTAGCAGATGCATTCACTCCTTGTGATTTATAATACCCAATAAAATTCTATTGTTCTGCCATATTACTATTCTTTTTGCCTCATATTTCTGTTTATTATCTCTGTTTCGAATCTCTCCCTTCTCTCACTTTGTGCTCTTTTCTTAATTTGTGTTACATGGACTGTAGCAGCTTGAAGTGCTATATATATATATATATATATACATATATATATATCGACATGCGCTATATCTTATGAAGTGCCAATAAAAGTGGTTCGGGGTTCGATCCCCGGCCAAGTCACTCCTTAACTTTGCTTAATCGGTAGTTAACTCGATTAAGAGGGAAGGTTGGGCTAGGTGAGGTTAGCAACTCCACCCCCTGTAAAAAAAAAAAACGTCAGTACTCCTGAAACTTTAAAGCTCTAGCTTGAAATCCTACATTTCGCTCGAAACGTAAAGGAATGAAGTTTGTAACTAATAGGGAAGTTATCTATGCGTAAAACGAACGATGAAAACTAAGGAATGAGTGAACAGTAGTCAAGAAACAAGTCTACACTTGGACAATGCATCCAACGGAATCGACAAAGTTATCTCCGAAAACATAAAGAAGACAATACAGCTACATATACATCAATACCTACAAAACTAACTACAGAAATATATATATATACAAAATAAAAATACACCACCTTTGAAACTTTCAACACTTCTTGAATACATTCGCATCGTTTCTCCTTGGAAACAGCATTTCGTCGAAATTGCTCCCACATTGGCAATAATTGCATAACAACTTCAGAGTGCTTTTTTGACTTTAATTTCAATAGACGACGTTCTCTCTTATCCAGAGATGCTAAAAATAATTTTTTTATTAACTAGGCATAATCATTCAAAAACGAGGGAGAGGAGAGAAAAAGAAAAATTGTTGGACTTGCCCACCACTATTTGTTAGATATACTGTCTGCATTACCTTTTAAAGGTGTCTAATATAATATTTAAGGGAAGAGTAAAATATATTAGAATACCTTGGATTTCTTTCCCAATTTCTGTTTTACTCCCTTCGGTTTGTGCACCTGCATTGGGAAGAAGGATAAATTATTGTGAATTGTTTTAATTAATGTAAATGAACACAATTGTAACAATGATAAGAAACATGTCACCAATACAAACCAAGACAAGTGTATAACGATTAAGAAGCGTTCAAGCTTATCTTACAACTAACATTGTCTGGGTGAAGTCACACTGATTGAGATGGCCAGGATATAAGTGGCCATGAGTCGTCGCCTACTCCGACGAACGATATCATCTGACATAGGATTAGACTGAAAAGGAGTTAGGTGTGGTCAAATCAGAACAAGGCATCAGTCAACGAAGATTTCCATCAGGCAGGGAAGTGTAGACTGCTAGTTTTGAGGTTGCCTATACTTTTTGTTGAAATTTTTCATGAGAATCTATCATATTAATATATGTGTAAAACTTGGGCACTGCGCGGTAGTAAGTAATTCCATATTAGTTTGTTTATTAGATGTATCACACAGTCAGTGAAACAGTATTATTATTTACTGGATGACACAGTTTCGAACAAAATTTATTGTTCATAATCATATCGTCAGTTATAATCACACGAATTCGAAACTTCAGTTTTATAGTTTTCTTTGTTATCTCCTATGTGTCGTCGTAGGTGGGGTAGTAGAATTTTCCAGATATCCGGCTGGACAGGTGTTGAATCATTCCTATTACACGTATTTGCATTTGATTCGACAAACAAAGCTTGTTATCAATGTCAATTCAATTCACTAATGAATTGGAAAGTCAGGAAGGGGAACTTCCAATGTTAGATTGTAACGTAAAAAGGAAAAAAGATAAGAAGTTAAACGCTAGTGTTTACATGAAACCCTCACAATCAAACTGATATTTCGATTTTCGATCATCCCATCCTATGTCAATGAAAATAGGATTGGTGAAATGTTTAAGTGACAGTAGGGCACAAAAACTAAGTAGTACCAAGGAAAATCTAAGACAGGAAGTGATACACATAAAAGAAGCCTTGAAACTTAATAATTATCCTGATAAATCAGTCAGAAAGTTTGTAGGGAAGTGTAAAATTAAAAATATATAATGATAATTGATTGTGATAATAATAGTAATATTAATGACGACATGCATGTCAAACATGCTCAGGTTAATGACAACACCAACAATAAGGAATTTAAATCATCAGTAGTAGTTCCATACAAGGAAGGAACCTCGGAAACCTTACGCAGAATTCTTAACACAGCAGGAATAAAAGTGGCTGGCATTCAAGCTACCCACAAACTCAATTAGAAACAAGCTTTGTCGGTTAAAGGATCAATCCTGCGGAGTCTTTAAAATAAAACAATTTAGCTTATCTAATACCTTGAAATGACTGCCAGGTCAAATACATAGGTCAAACTAGTAGAACAGGGGTAGTCAGACTAGCCAAGCATAAAAACCTAGCAAAATCTAGATTGGTTGATCCGAATAAGATATGAAATCTAGAGAATAGTTCAGCTATATCACTCACTACATGCAATTACACACACAACCATACAATATTGGATGATGGGATAAGATGACAGTTTTAAAACCTAGTGTCACAGGGTGGAGGGAGAGATTTATGACAGCGGAAGCTTTGTTTATCGAATCAACTGCAAATACGTGCAATACGAATAATTCAACACCTGTCCACGTGAACAGCTGGAAAATTCTACTACCACGCCTACGACGACACATAGGAGAGGACAAAGAAAACTACAAAACTCAAGTTTCGAGTTCGTGTGATTATAACTGATATGATTATGAACAATAAATTTTGTTCGAAACTGTGTCATCCAGTAAATAATACTGCTTCACTGTGTGATACATCTAATAAACAAACTAATAGAGAATCTATCAATTTTTCAAAACGTAACAAATTCTAAAATAAGTGTAGAACTTGGGCACTGTGGCGGTAGAATGTAATTCCACATTAGATAAGTTTATTTTAAATGTCAAACAGTTATGCAGTATTAACAACTGGATGACGTTTCGGGCATAAATTATTGCTTATAATCATATCAATGAGGCTGGAATCAGGGTGGCATTTAAACCAAGCAACTGTCTTAGGGATAAACTCTGTCGGCTTAAGGACCCAATAGATAAAATTAAGAAAACTAATATAATTTACTAAATACCATATAATGACTTTGAGGTCAATTACATAGGTCAAACCACTAGTAGATCGGAGTCAACTAGATTATTGGAACATAAAAATTTAGCTAGACTTAGAATGATTGCCCCTGCTATGTTGAATAACCTAAAAAGAATCCCAGCCAACGCACCGAATTCACTTGCATGTGATCACAAATAGGATGGAACAGGGTAAGAGTATTTAGAAGCAATATAGTTAGGTAGAGAGAGAGGTTAATCACTGAAGCTTTGTTTATCAATTCAACACCAAATACATGCAATCGAAATGACACAACGACTATACCGGAGAAACGGAAAGTGACAACAAACAACAAAGGGAAGTTGGAGACAGAAAGAGAGGAAATATATACAAGACAAATTGTGAAGCCATGTGACCAAACTAATAAGATTATGCGCAATGTTCGAAACGCAATCCAGTTGTTAATACTGTATCACTGTGATATTTAAAATAATCTTATCCAATATAGAATGACAAATACTGATGACAATCAAAAACAATGCACAAAAAATATAAACATATGGCTTTCCCGTCTCACAAAGTAAGAATGGATGATGGAAATACTACCTGATGTGCATTGCTATTGAATTAAGAAGGAGCAACACTGGATTTTTAATTCACTTCGCACTATATTATCTACAACTTCCAGCAACTGGTTTCATCATTATTATGAAACGAAACGAAGGTGAGCTTCGCGGAAGAGATGGATCAGACTTATTGCGCGGAAACTAATGCTTCCGCTTAGCTCCAAAAAATGAAGTGATGTGTGAACTCACAACACTGATTGAAACTTAAGGGCATAAACTAACTAGCTATAAATTAACAGTACAGTTGATACAAGCAGCTACAGATACAATGGTCTAGACCGTTTTGCTGATGTAATAATTGTTTATTTTCCCTACTACTATTGCTACAAGTATGCACAGTATACGTCTCAAACAAGTAACAAACATTTCAACCACCTGATATAGACGTAGATTCGGGACAAAAAAATAATTGACTTGTGTTCATTATACAATACTCTACACCAAACATGAGTCTTTATAAATCATTAGGGCATCAAGGAAAAAAATGAACTAAATGTCTAGAGGCCTCATGAAATATACACTTATGACCATCACATTGTTTAACTAAGTAAAACGATACAGAAACGAGTAGAGTATGAGGCAATGCGGATGCGGTAAAACACGTGCAGCTAATCTTTTGCCATGTCACTAGGATTCTGTTGCTCAACTATCTGATACGATCCTACAATCTGGAAGTCATACTTTATCTTAAATTAATTCTGGAGGATGAATTAGTGTCATAAACACCTTAAACGCTGACAACCTAAAGTGTAAAAACCCCTGCTAGCCGAATGTCTCCCCATAAACATGTAACTATATAACGCTTACAAAATGGAAATAGTGGAAAGTGTGTATGTAATATGTCATAGCATCAATACAATACGAACTTACTTTTACATCATCGCCAGAAGCAGTTTCTGAAATTGTGAGCTCTCTCTTCTTCATTTTGGCCACCTTTAGGGTTAAAGTATGCTGTGCAAACAACCCACCTTTACGGGAAAAACTTCAAGCTCCTAGAAAAAATAAATGCACAATACTAAACCAACCTCTCCGTGACGTTTTTTGGCTTTCTCCTTGTTACTTACTCCAGACTTAGCTTTGATCTAAAATAATAAAATATGTGAACGACGTAAATACTTTAATCGACATCACGCTTCGTAGTCGAACGTACCGCTATATTGCAAGGTCGAAGAAACGTTTCTCTAACAAAATCAAAGTAAGGTTTAGAAATTCGAGTAGAAGTTGCAAGTGGACTTCGGAGAGGTTACTGAATACGGCTGCTTGCATGTGAAGTATACTGTTGAGGTGGCTTGTCTGTAACCTGTCATTATTATTATTATTTCCTTTAGTTCCTAGAGGAACATAGGGCTTCAGCCATGCGTCTCCATTGCGTTCGGTTCTCTGCTAGAGTTTTCACCTGGCTCCAAGTCTGCCCATACGCTTTCAATTCTTCTTCACATGATCTCCTCCAGGTCACCCTTGGACGACCAACTCGTCGCTTCCCTTTCGGGTTCCACTCGAGCAATGGCTTGTCTAGTGATGTCACTTGCTGGTTTCCTCAGAGTATGGCCAATCCATCTCCATTTCTTCCTGCCTCTTTGTTTCACAATCGGTTCCTGGTTGGTTCGCTCCCAGAGATCTTTGTTGCTGATCCTTTCTGGCCATTTGATCTTGAGTATTGAGCGAAGACATCTGTTAATGAAGGTCTGTAGCTTGTTTGAGGTGCTCTTTGTGACACGCCAAGTCTCTGATCCGTATAGTAGTACTGACTTCACATTGGAGTTGAAAATCCCGATCTTATTTTTGACGCTGAATGCTGTTGACCTCCACACAGACTTGAGAGTAATGAAAGCTTGTCTTGCTTTCCCGATCCTTGCTTTGATATCCTCGTCAGTTCCGCCTGTAGTTGAAACAATGCTTCCCAAGTGGGTAAAGGAGGTAGTTTCTTTCAGGTTCCTTCCATTTATGCTGATTGCTGTCTGTTGTTGTTGCTGTGGCTGTTGGTGTTGGCCAGGAATCTTCATCACCTCCGTTTTCTCTATGTTTACCTGGAGTCCTATCTTTGATACTTCTTCTGCCAACTTGTTACTTTTCACCTGCATATCTTCCAGTTTGTGGGAAATCAGACATATATCATCGGTGAAGTCCAGATCCTCCAAGTTCTTTGTGTGAGTCCATTTTATGCCTGTTTCCTCATTGCCCACTGTCTGTCGCATTATCCAATCTACTGCAATCAGGAAAATCATTGGCGATATTAGGCAGCCTTGTCTTACTCCTGCCTTCACTTCGAAGGATTCCGTGAGTTTCCCGTTGTGGATTACTTGGCATGCAGCGTTGTCATACAACTGTTGGATGAGATGTATAATTGTCGGCGGCACCTTGTAGTAGCGAAGTAGTTGCCAAATCACCTCTCGATCGACTCTGTCGAAGGCCTTTTCAAGGTCGATGAAGTTGAGATAGAGAGGTGACTGCCATTCCAAACTTTGTTCAATGATGATCCGTAGTGTGGCGATTTGATCAATACATGACTTGTTTCTCCTGAATACAGCTTGTTCCGGTCGAAGTTTTTCATCCAGGGCTTGTTTGATTCTCTCCAGGATGATGCGGCTTAGTATTTTGCTTGGGATAGACCGGAGCGTAATTCCGCGCCAGTTCTTGCATTGACGTAGGACTCCTTTCTTTGGAAGTTTGAATAAGTAACCTTTCTTCCAATCCTCGGGTACTTTGCCTTCTTTCCACACCTTCTCCAGTAGTGGCGTCATCAAGTCTGCTGTTGTCTCTGGATCCACTTTCAATGCCTCTGCTGGGATTCCATCTGGTCCTGCTGCTTTTCCAGTTTTCAGCATCTTGTAACCTGTCATTAGTTTTTAAATATGTAGTATAATAATATAAATAATAATAATAAGCCAAGAAATCATAGAGAAGATTTGTAGCTCAGATGGATGATTTGTAATTAATAGTGTTCTCTGAGCTGGTTGGTTTAGTTGCGGAGAGAGATGGTCACCACAGAAACAGGAGAAGATTTTATTAAATAATGCAGCTTCATTGCCGAATTTTCTCGTAACCAAAGTATGGTACAAAGGTTTCCACTCGAATGCTTAACAGTACATGCACTTTGGTCAGTAGGTTTGCACTAAGCCAAAAATCAGTGCAGGTATTTCGTGGATATGCCGGAAGTTGGCACGCTAGTCAGAGGATATTTGCAGAGAGGAGGGATTAAAATAAGTGTCAAAAACGCACCAGCTCATTATAATTCATCCAACACTTTCCTCGGTATTCAAATACTTGATATGATATGACTTGTTATGATTATGAGCAATAATTTTGTGCTCGAAACGTCATCAGTTAATGTCAGTCACTGTACAAAACTGTTTGATTTATCAAAATAAAATCTTATCCATGATGGATTCAAATACTAGCTGGTAGCAACTCTTCTTTCAGGTCTCAGACATATAGATCAAGTAATTGGTCAATGAAGACCAGACGTCTGAAGGTTGACTGGTTATGTTAATTCCTTCAACCTCCCGAGGATTCTTTCTTGAACTCTATACCAGGCTTCCATACAGCAATAAACCCTAACGGAAGGCAAAAGAAGTTCTCGTGTATCTGTGATCGAAGATCAGGATCTAACGTTAGAACTTATTCGAAAAGCAGATCATTTTTAATCCCTGATTCCTATTTGGAGTCATCTAGCAACCACCATGGAACTCGGAATTCATGTTAGAAAACTTAACTATCCTGTCTATACGCCCGCTGTCACTTGCATCCAAAATTTCATGATATCCTCGTTAGTGATTTAGTGTCACATTGAAACAGAGTCAATCCTTGTGTGATTATCTGGCTATCATATTTGGACAGGAATTTGTCAGCAGGACGTCATATATGTTGGCTTCGTGATACGATGAGCAGAAAAGCATATCGGCTGAACACAGTGTTTGCTAGTAACGGACGTGAAGTGAAAATTAACCCAGAGACTGCAGCAGGTGTGCTCACGCCCTGCTTGCAAAAGGTTTGGAAAGAAGGAAAATTTACTACTGACTGGAAGAAAAGCTGTCTACCTTATCAGACTACCAAAGAAGGGTGACTTGGGCCACTGCAAGAAGTGGAGTGGAATCATGCTTTTGTTAACGCCAAGTAAAATATTGAGTCGCATCATTCTGGAGAGAATGAAAGATAAATTGGATTCAGAATTCTCCCATCCGCGACTAGCTGGATTCAGAAAAGGCAAGTCATGTGCTGATCAAATCTCAACTCAACGCATCATCATCACAGAACAAAGCATGACAGTCAAACATCTACCTCAACTTCATCGACTTCAAAAAGGCCTTCGACAAACAGCGTTAACCGAGAAGTAATTTGGAAACTATTTCAACACTATGGCGTGAAACTCCCCAAGTCTCCATCTACCTGATTCAACAGCTATATGACAGTGGCACCTGTCAGGTGATCCCCAAAGGAAAACTCAGAGGGGCGTTCGAAGTGCATACAGAAGTAATACAGGACTGTCTATTATCACCGATGATATTCTTAATTGTGATGGATCGTATTATGCGTCAGACAATGGGGAGGGAAGAGACAGGGGTACTCTGGACCACCGATGAAAACACTCTAGAAGACCTGGATTTTGCAGATGATATATGTCTAATGTCGCATAAACTCAAAGACTTACAGGTGAAAACCAACAAACTGGATGAAGAGGTTGGCTGGCAGCGAACATAGGACTCCAGGAGAACATGCCAAAGATGGAGGTGATGGAGGAGATAACCAACGAACGGGATGAACAACACAAAGCAGCACCAGTCACCATCAACGGGAGAGGTTTAACAGAGGTTGCTTCCTTCATATATCAAGGAATCATCGTTTCACCTACAGGCGGAATGTATGGAGATGTCAACACAGGCTAACTGCTTCGTCCTAGTTTGGGACTCTCTACGGTACGCACCCATTTGGGCTTTACCCAGGACCTCCTGGTTACAAGGCAAGCTCGTGGAGCATTAAACCACTGGAACCTCATCCAACGGCCTATGAATCCTGGCTTCTGCCGATTCATGATACACCGCGACCTGCGGCTCGTTCTGCTGCAGTCGCCAGTGTGTTTCAGAACTGTCTTTTGTCTTTCCTGGCACTCTTCTTCATTTCTTCATTCAGTGAGGTGTACATTGAACTCAGCTTCTCTCTCTGTTGCCCATCTTTGCGCTGAGTCATCTCTTTCACCAACCCCGTCTTCTCGACCACCTTCCAGGTATCCGTCGACAGCCATTCCTTGTCCTATCCCTTTCTTCCTCATAGAACAGTTGTACATGTTTTATTAAATATCGCTTTCAGAAACTTCCAATGTTCTTACACACAGGTTTCCTCAGTGGTGTCACGTAGTGTCTCCGCCTTTGCTCTAATCTGATCTGAAATAATATATAAACAGTATCTGTGAATGCTTTAGTGTAGGTAAACCAATGCTATATGCAGATGACTTAAAAGTGACGTATAAATGCAAGAACACAGATCTTGGAATAACAGTAAACGCCATACAGCAAGAATTAGAAAAATGGATAGATGGTGTGACACCTGGCAACTCCAATTTAATGTCGAAAAATGTGGCTGGCTCTGCATAGGTTGCAACAATTTAGAACTTGACCTGACAATTCAAGGCAATGCACTTCAACGACTGGAATCTGTACTGGACCTAGGGCTGAAATATTCACATAACTTATCATTTTCTGAACATATATCCAAACAAGTGTCAAAGTCACGCAGACTTATCGGCTTTCTACTCAGGAACTTCTACAGAAATGAGTCTAGAATTCTGTTGTACAAGGTTTGTGTGCGTCCTTTATTTGATTACTGTTCATTCATGTATAGTAGCATACACATAGAGGACCAATTGAAAGTCGAGGGAATGCAGAGGTACTTCACGTTAGAATTACTCGGAACCGAAAATTGTGCGAACTACTCCACTAGATGTGATACCCTAGGACTAGAAACACTATGGCTAAGACGCCTGAAACTAAACTTGACACTTTACTATAAGCTTCTAAACCACTTAGTTTTTACCTCTGCTAATGGCACTCGACTTTCAGATGACAATGGCTACAAACTAAGACACACTAAGGGTACAGTAGCTATCGAACAATGTAAAACAGCCACCAGGCAAAAGTTTTACTCGATTAGGTATGGACAGATATGGGATAAATTGCCAAT